ACATAAGAGTACTAATTGTTTCTAAAGGTTATTTAACAGCCATTTGTAGTCAATTTAAGTTTGTAAAGAACAAAATACACATTTCATCTTTAAATGTAAACAACCAGTCATGTTCACACTAGGAGCTCAGGGACTGCTCCCATAGGCCCATCAGAGAGACAGTTCCCATGCACTGCTTCTTGTTTCAAGGGCACTCAGGAACTAGGAGGAAAGTTCCTTTGTGTGATTGATGATATCTAGAGACCACATCAAAAGCACCAAACTTAGAAAATAGGAGGAGATAATGACAGGAAGACAGAGCAAACTTCATCTCCTTTCTTCTAGCCCTTAGTTTTAGATCTTTCACATACTGACAGGATCTAGGCTCCCTCTGCTATATCTTGTAAGCAGCTAGTTACTACAATAGGTTACAGCTCAATTATAGGAAACCAAGGTGCTAGACTATCCCACAGCTACTGACACTATTTTCCTAAACTCAGGCAAGATGCATACATATTTTATCATTCATAATGAATTATAATGGACTAAATGTTTGTGTCCCCCTCCCTCAATTCACATGTTGCAATCCTAAACCCCAGTGTGATGGTATTAGGAGGTGGGACCTTAAGGAGGTGATTAGGTCATAAGGATGGAGCCCTCATAAAACAGGTTAGTGCCCTTACAAAAGAGACTCCAGAGAGCTCTCTCGCCCTCTCTCCACCATGTGAGGATACAAAAAGAAGTTGATAGTCTGCAACCTGGAAGAGGGCCCTCGCTAGAACTTGGTCATGCTGGCACTCTAATCTCGGACTTCCAGCCTCCAGAACAGTGAGAAATAAATGTCTGTTATTTATAAGCCACATAGTCTATGGTACTTTGGAATAGCAGTCTGAACTAAGACAAAAATCTATCATGTGTAACTGAAAAAAAAATTTATACACTCTATTAATAGGACCAATGCATTCTCATACACAAAGAACTTCTTCAGTACTATGAATAAACTATTACATAGTTAATGATTTATAAGGATTTAGTTTCATAAGCCAAGCTTGAAGTACTTATCCAAAATCTCCCCAACTACAAATGAGCTTTTTTACTTTTGTAATCTGTACCACAAATATTCCTATGTTTGTTTGTTGCTTTCTTGGGCTATTAGCAGAAATCAACAAAAATGCTTTCAGAAGTAGCTCCAAATATTTTTTTTAAATACACATACTTCTTTCACAGAGAAGCCCATGGATAATGCAGCAACATCTGGGATTCGCTCTCCTGGTATAGGCCAATTTCCATCCCGGAAAACAACAGACCCCGGTGATCTTAAAATACTAAACTCGTTTCCCAAAACACCTGAGAAGAAAACAGATTAATAAGTGAATGATCAGCATCATAAATATCTTGCATCCATGTTGAAAATTATTAAATATGTTTCTCACTCCCCATTGACTTAGCATACTAAATTATGATTGGACAAAATGCCGAATCCTAAATACACATCTATGGATTCTTTTCCAAGGTATCACTCTAAGAATTTAAGTTCATACATTCTGTTGTAACAAAGGTACAACTATGAAACAGAATTCTCCTAATGATCTAGATGCCTTCCTACAAATGGCCCTTAAACATAGGCATGTGGCAATTTGTCAAGAATTAGAAATCAGTTGTATTTCTCCAGAATTTAAAAAAAACAAAAAACAAAAAACAAAGCCCTGGCACAGACTAAAAAAGAAGAAACTTAAAATCTCTAAATTATTTCTAACATCAACCCACTCTTCAAAATGCAAATTTATAAAATTCCTAGTATTTCACTCTAAAACTTTAGCAGGTTAGTGTGCCGTAGGATATATCATATCTTTCCTTAAATCCCACAGGCAAACCTAGTGAAATGAGGACTGTCAAATGGGGGTACATGTTACCAGTCAGAATAAAAAATACTTCAGACTTTAGAAACAAAATCCAGGAAAATAGCATTTCCAATGGATGTATCAAGAGGGTGAGAAAAGGTATTCTGTAATAATAAAGTCAACTAGTCTAGGGGTGTGGGCCCGGGATTAAAAAATAAAGGATGAGAATAAAGAGACTATTTTTTAAGCCCTCCAAGGCTTAGGATGAAGTATCTGGCCTCTTCACCCATCATGTGTTAACCCGATGATGTCTAGCTTACACATAGTGGCTAATGGAAACTTTCGGGTTCCTATGAAAAGAAGCTCCAAGTCCAAAACAAATCTTGTTCATGCCTAGTATGGGAAATTAGACCTTAATAAAACATCACTGTTATTCTCTTTGACCTAAGGAAAGTACCATTTACAGAGTGTGGGAATAAAGTTAGAAGCAACAGTAAATGTTTTGCTGTTACAGTATTGACAGTAAATAAAAGGCCTCAGGATGGTGCTGATACAACAAGAAGAATTATGAGTTTCAATTCAGTGCAGCTGCCAGAGCCTGAATTTCCAACTTGTTCTAGCTGAAGGCAGACTAAGAAAAATTAGCAGAACAGAATGGACGTTTGTAACTGATAGACATCTTGGTTCACTAAAGTAGTAGTTATTGCAAACTCTAAGGAAAATAGGGTAGCAACAGACATATACTTTCCAAGCACCGTACGCATTTAAAGAACCATATTTGGATCTGGAGATAGCCCTGTTTTGAGATGTGGCCATACTCACTCGACCCCAGCAAAGTTATACTAAATTACTTTGTCCCAAGTTTGTAGTTAGAGTCCACTTCTGTGCCTGCACAACAGTTCTTCGGGAGCCTGGAGTTTCAGAAAAACTTTACAGTCGTGGACTCCTATACAAGAAACTGCTGCTTCATACATGTATATCCAGGATATCTGACAGAAAGTCACCCATCCTCTACCCGAATGGGGACACCAACGAAGGGGGACGCCACTTCAACTTACAAACACTACAGTTTGCCAGCAGTCATCTCCATTGCCCCAACATTGTAGTCTTTTGAACAAAGTTTTCCTTTGTACTGAATTGACTGAAATGGGCTTCCTTCTCTCAACTTCCTGTTTTATCACTCCTGACTCAGTCTCACCAGATAACCTGCTTTAAGAGAAAACAGAGGAATTCCACCAGCTACCTGCTTTCTCCCCACAATTATCTGCATGACCCCCTACCCTTATCTCCTCTCCCTTCAGATGCAGTCTAAAATAATCCCCTGGTTCAGCCTTCTTAGGGACCTTCATTCATTCACCTATTAAATCATTCATTTAATGTTTATTAAGCCACTATTCTGGGACAGACAACATTATCAGGAGTTAGGTGCCTAAATGGTTGTAGGCATACAAAGTTGGCCCTGTAGAACATAAACTCCATGAGGTCAGAGATTTCAGTTTATCTTGTTGACACAACATCCTCAGGGCTGAGAATAATGCCTGACACACTGGTGCTCAATAAATATTTGTTGAGTTTTTGAATAAATGAAGCCACACCTTGCACTACCAAATTTCCCCTCTTGACTGGCTCTTTCAAGCATGAAAATACGCTACTGTGCTCCCATTATATAAGTAAGACCACAAAAAAACCTCCTTTGGTCATCCTAGGCTCTACTAGCCTCCGTTTCCCTTCAGAGGAAGAATCCTGGCAGAGTAGTCAGCCCATTTGTCTTTCTATATTTTCATTTCACATTTACTACCTACTCCACAGTTTCTGACCCCGCCATGACACTGAAACGACTTACCAAATCCAAAAGATAATCTTCAATCCTTAATTTATTTAACCTCCCAAAGCATCTGATACTGACAACTCCCTCCTTGAAAATCTGCTGCCTTGGCCCTCATAAGCCCAGGTCCCTGGTTTTTCTTCCAATCCCTCTGGCTGCTTCTCCTTAGCTTTTTTCCCTTCCTGTCCCTGAGAGCCATGATGTCCAGAATTTTTAGATTTCAACCCTTTCAGTACAAAATTTGAAAGTAGTCTCACTATAAATATATTTATTTATACAGCATACACTTGTAGTACAAGAGACTATATGCTCATAATATATTACAAAGCACACAAAAATAAAGTTTAAAAAAGGATGAGATACCTGTGTGGTATTCTTCACAATTTAATCATGAGAAAATATCAGACAAACCCAAACTGAGGGACATTCTACAAAATATCTGACCATTATTGGAGGGAGAGGGGAGAGGGAGAGGACGGGACACGGAGAGGAGAGAGAGAGAGACTGAGATTAAAAAACAGATGTAAATGGAAGTTCTAGTATATTCTTCTGGCATCCCAGTAGATCACCTAGCAAACTTCACACTATGGCAATCTAAGGGCTACATTCCTGACTCTCACCACTTTCCTAGTCTACAACTTTCTCCCTGGCTGAGCTCAACTACTCCTAAGGCTGCAAACACCAAAAACACATTGATGGCTCCCAGATTTTTATTTTCAGCCTAGATTTCCACTGAGCGTTAGACCTACACACCCAACAGCCTGCTGAGCATTTAAGTCCCATAGGTCCTTCAAACTCAACAGGTTCAGAACTGAATTCACCATCTTTCCACAGGTTCCTCCTATATTCTGACCCTTTCAGTACAAAATTTGAAGGATGACACCATCTTCTACCCGGCTGCTTGAACTGGTTGTCTTTAAATCTCTCCTCAGCACCACAGCTCATCGAACACTGAATTCTGTTGACATTTTTTTTTGTGGTTATCCCACAAACCCTTTTCCCTCCATGTCCAGTATATTCTTCCCGTCCTGACCAGGCTTGCTGAAACTGGCCACCTTATGACTTGCCAGACCACTCTCTGATTTAGCATTCCTATCACCTTTTAAAATTACAGATCTGTTCATTCATTCTTTAGCTTAACCACCATCACTTGTTGCCCAGAGCCTTTGAGACAAAATCCAAAAGATAATATCCAAGGCACCTTGCCAACCTTATTTCTGGGATCTCTCAACTTAATTCCTATACATTCTGGCCTCAACAAACTATTTGCTCTTTGTTCTCATATCTCTGTGCTTTTACACATGCTGTTCTGTGGAAAATGCCTTTTCTTCCCACCCCAACCTTTCATATTTGTCCTGTGAGGCATCCCCCTACCACCACCTAGGAAATTTCCCTCAGCCTCCCCATTCTGGGCTAGATGCTAAGTCCTCTGCCCTTCGGGAATTCCCACCATACTATGCAGTGATCTATGAATGGTGGACGGAATCAATAAGTGAAAAAATAGGTCCTACTTTTGACCTATGGGGCTTCAGTGACCAAATCAAATCCTTCTTCAACATGACATCCCTTCAAATTCCATGTGTTTGCCCATGGCCTTTCCTCTCCAGGCTAAACATCTGAATTTTTTCAAATATTCTTCATGACACGGTATTTATAATCCTAGTTCCCTTTCTCTAGTCTCTCTCTGGTTTGGTAACACCATTTTAAAAGACATATTTTTTTCTCAAAGAAGTCTGATCTCTTAAAAATGTTTTCCATTTAATCATATTTAGTCATTGTGGAAAACAGTAATTTAACTTCAGCTGACAAGACCAAGGAATGCAGAAGCTGACAGGATCAGACTACTCCAGTTAGGGAAAGCATGTCCAAACCAGGTACCAAACCCAAAACAAAAACCACTAAACCTCACTGAATCAAAATAACATTACACATGGAATTCCAGCGGATGTTCAGTTAATTCACAGTATCAAATGGAAGATTTTTAAATTTCAAAAGCAGAATAAAAAAAATTAAAAATGTCTCCAAAGTCTCTTACTAGATAGACTAGAATGACTTTCCAGAGACAGAAACAAAAGAAACAGAAGAATCCTAACATTTGGGGGACATGAAAATAAGTGTAACTATCATCAGCACAAAACACTGGGCACTCCAAGGATGGAGAAGACCTACAGATTTCAAGAACATCCAGTGGTCTACACCTCCATGCAGAACTGAAGCACCAATCCGAAAGTGGGACTCTCAGCACTTCACACAACAGAGGCATAGGCCTCCTATTGATTTTTTAAGCTATAGGTTTTAAACCGACACACTGAGGAAGAGCCCTATTCCTCCAAATTGTTCTCAACTTGGGCTCTTGTTGGCTAGTCTGCGTCCCTATCATTCCCACATTCTCACACAGTAGTAGCATTCCACTACCATGCCACAGCATATGTAATAGAAAAGTCCCATGGTTTGAAGCCAGCTGCAGCTTTTCTGCTTACCACTTGTGTGGTGTTAGGTTATTTAGGCTTGCTCACTCTGTACAACGAAGATAACATCCTCTTCTAAGGATTACTGTAAAATTAAATGCATTACATGATACACAGGAAGAGGCCAGATATAAGCTGACTTGCACCCCCCCTGCTGAATGCTAGGGAACCTAGGTTCCACTCAGAAAGCTATCATTATATGACATGTGACCCTAAGAACGTGACTCACATCTTAGTTTCCAAATCCTTAAAATTGGGAACTATGACAAACTATTGAGAGGTACTTTGAATTCGCCTTTAGAAATAATCTTATAAAACCAATTATTCCGCCTCCAACTTTGTATCCTGAAACGCTGAAGGAGGGGAGAAGATTTCACCAGTCACTGATGACAACTGCTAGAAATGGAGACACCAGAAAAATGCAAAGAAATGCAGCAGCTGATGGCAGCTAAGAAGTCGGCCTTCCCTTTTTCGCAGAGAGCTGCGGTTCAACAGTTAATTGGGAAATGCATTCCGGTCCTTTGAAGCGCCTCCCGAGATGGAAGACGCCCGCCGGGCTGACCCGAGGCTGGAGGCAAGACCGGCGGATGCGCCTTCCTTGAAGAGACGGAGAGTGAAGCCGGCTCATGTGCCCCCGACGCAGCCCAGCTTGGCTTGGCCCCGGCCCCGCCAGGCCCGGTCGCCACAGGCCAGTCCCGACAGAAGGCTGAGGGAGGCAGCTGGCGCGAGGCTGCCGCCGCTTGCCTGCACTGCGGCACCCGCCCCACTGCCGCACACCCGCAGCCGCCCGCGACCCTGAGCCCTAAGGCTCAGGGCCTCCTGAAGCGCGCCCCACCCGCAGCCGGTTCCTCACCCGCCACCAAGGACAACAGCACGACGAGCACAGCCATGGTTCCGCGGCGGCCGCGGCAGTGCAGGGCAACACGGAACGGGCCGACAAGACGCGAGCGACCACCGCAGCACCAGGGCGTGACGCGCTCTGGCTCGTTGCGACTCCTTGAGGCCGCCCCGTCGTCGCCTCCGCTGGGACAGCTGTCGCCTTCTCCACCAATCGCCAGCTACGCCGTGGCGGGCGGGAGAGGCGTAGCCGGGGCAACGTCAGCCTGATGGTCGGAGTCTACCGTGATGAATGGTAGGCCCTGCCAATGGCAGGAAGCAATTGCAGAGCCGGGCAGTCCCGCCCCCCGGCCCATGACGACCGGTCACGAGATGGAGGGTAGGGCTGGCGTTGGGGCGGAGGAAGACATAGGCTGTTGAGGAGGCAGGAGAGCCTATGGTGTGGAGCTGCCTCCCGAGTGCGGATCCTTTGGCCAATCTCGGTTGACGGTCTCCAACCGGGGTGTCTGTCTTGCCTTGTCGCGGGGCTCCGCCTTGCCATCGGTATAGCTGTGGAAACTGCGAGGCTGGTTTGGGTTTCGTTCTAACGATTACACAGATGCTGAGCACGTGCTAGGAAGAGACCAGGCGCCTAGGGGAACCCCTGCTCTCCAAGTACGGCACGACGAATAATTTTTAGTATAAATATGTCGTGAATATTTAATGGGACAGACTTATACTAAAAAAAAGTATTTGTTGTTTGTCTGAAATTCAAATATACCTGGACATCCTGTATTTTGATTTGCTAAATCTAGCAACCCTACCTCCTAAGACTTTCCCGGCCTACCAAGAGTAGTGTGACGAGAACATTACTTTCTTCATCCGTTCACTCTGTGTTACTTGAGAGCTAGACATGTTAATTAGACTAGGATCCTCCATTCCTATTGCTCATAATTTTTTGCCCATGATGTGAAGAAACAAGTGACACAGTGTAGCATCTGTAGTGAGAAAATGATGCCCCAGTTGATGACCTTGAGAGATGGATGTGGTTTCAATATGCAAGGAAAAGAGATGGGGAGCTTTCTCCAGGTAGCAAAAACTAAGTTGAGGATGTTGAATTGTACATAAAAGAACTATACTTCATTTGGTAGGAAATGGGAGTCATTAAAGGTGTTTGAGCATTGTTCAGTGCACACATGTACAGCTTGTTGGGGGAATAAATGCCCTGTTTCCTCAATTTCCTGTCTCTATTTTCTTCTTGAGATTAACTGAGGGAGAAAAAAGGAGAGTAGGTTGAAAGCAGTGACCCCAGGAGTTTCTCGGGTAGCAGACCTATCCTAGGAAAAACTTGCCCAACTGAAAACGAATCAGAACACTCACTGGATACTCAGGTTTGAACTTAGAGAACCCACTATGGTCACTAAAACTACTCTCAGTTTAGGGAATGGGACCTAGATTTCCTCACTAAACTTCAGGAAATTCTTTGACTCTCAAATTTGTATTCTTTTAGAGGAGAATTTTCACAAATGTGACTTTAAAGAAATCTGAAAGAGAAAAGGATATTTTTCCATTAGGAATGTGAAATTATTGGATTACCAAATATGCCTAAAGCAAATAATTTCCCAAACAGCAACTCTAAAATGACTGGCTTGAAAAAAATAAGTATCAATATGAATTTAGTCATTTTTCAAAATTCATTTTTTAGCATGATGTAGTAATTTCTCTTCACTTCAACTAAAATTTAATTCTTTGTCTATCTTGCTGCATATCCTAGAACAGGTTCTAGACCAAAGGCCCTGAATGAGCTTGTCTAATAAACCTTATTTAGTGGCATAATCAGCTAAAAGTGGAGCGGAGCTCCTGCAATTTCATCCAGGCTAAAGAAACAGGGAAAGGAGTAAATTTTTCTGTTCTTAAAAGAGTTCTAGGACATTCTTATTCCTTATAATTTGAAGAAGACCAAAAATACTGTAAATAGACTGGAATAAAACAAATCCCTCTTTCTCCTCCCTCCAAGAAAACCTCAAAATCTCACAATCTTTCATACTTTATGCCTTGAGAAATAACATCCTTTTCTGGGCTGAAAGTGAATTGCTTATCCTTTAAATCTAAAGCCCCTTTTCATCTGAGGTCTTAAAAGGGCAATGCTGCTTCTTAGAGCTTTGGAATACAGCAAGATATAACACTGTAGGAAGCCTTCTCCTTGTTTCATAGATTGAGAGATTGAAACCTAGGGGAGGGCATATGTACTCAAAGTCACATCCTGAATCATCAATAGTTCTGCTTTAGAAAGCAGCTCTTCAGATTCAATCTTTAGCACTCAGTAAACAACTGGTGATACGTGATTAACTTTTCCTTTGAAGCATTTAGAGGTGGATATGTGTGTGGCAGGATAATATTTGAAGGAATGACCCATATGTTAGGCTAAAAGAAGCCTCTTCCCCTACCTCTCATCCCGGGCCAAATAGCCAAGATGCCAGCCATCCACTGCCCTGAGGAGAGGACTTTCAAAAGAACCCGAAAACAAAAATGTCAAAATCCTGGCTCTTGAGTTTCAAAAGGAGAAGTCCTGATATAAGATTTGAAAGAATATGTACATAATTCAGTTTGCTTCCCTAACTCCCCCTCTACCCCACATTAATTCCAGCAGGAAATTCTGAGTGATCCTAGAGAGAACATGGTAAGGTGGCCTGGTCCTTGCATATCAGCCATCAGGAAACCCTATGGAGGCCAAGATCATGTCATACTCCCAAACCATGCAGCTCCCATTGAATTAAAATTAAAAACTTCTTTTCAAAAGATATCATATACAGAACGGAAAAGTTAGGGGGCAGAGAGAGAGAGAAACTTTACAGTGGAGATACCTGACAAACACTACCTTAGCTGGATGGTTAAAGTCAACATCAAAAGTAACAAACCATGTTGATAGTATGTACCCTCGATGCAATGTGATGAAAATGGCACTTTACCTCTGTGGCCTTCCTCTGCAAATCCATAACCCCAGTCTAATCATGAGAAAAACATCAGATAGATCCCACTTGTGGTACATCCTACAAAATAACTGACCAGTACGCCTCAAGACTGTCAAGTTCATCAAAAACAAGGAGAGTCTGAGAAACTGTCACAACCAAGAGGGGCCTAAGAAGATATGACAACTAAATGTAACATGGGATCTTACAACAGAAAAAGGAAATCTGAATAAAGTATGGATTCCAGTTAATTATAATGTGTCAACATTGGTTCATTAATGGTGACGAATGGATCATACTAGCGTAAGATGTTAATAATAGGGAAAACTAGGTGAGATATGTGGGAACTCTGTACTATCGTCTCAATTTTTCTGTCAATCTAAAATTATTCTAAAAATATAGTTAATTATAAAATACCACCAAGTGAAAATACAAGCCACAAAATGGAAAAAGAAAAGATGAGTTGTATCCATAATATATAAATCATTCTTACAAATCAATAAGAAAAAGACAACCTGATAGAAAAATGGGTGGCAGACTTGAACAGGTGCTATACAGCAGAGGAAAGCCTAAAAGGCCAGTATAAAAAGATGCTTAACCTCATTAGTAGTTAGGGGAATGCAAATTTGAAACCGTGAGATACCACAACAAAAAGTTGTGCAAAAAGTTTAAAATGTCTGATCATGCCAAATGTAGGCAAGGATGTAAATTAGCTGAAATTCTTGTAACATGCTGGTAGGAGTATAAATTGGTGTAATTATTTCTGAAAACATTGCCTTGTCTATTAAAATTTAAGATATACATCCCCTATATTCCAGCAGTTCCATTCTTTGGAATATATACTACAGGAATATACATTTAAATGTGCCAGAATGCAAGTACAAGAATGTTCATAACAGTGCTGTTCGTAACAGCCAAAAACTGGAAGCAATTTAAATGTCAATTGACAAGAGAATGGATAATAAATTATGGTATATTTCATACAATGGGATACTATAACACAATGAAAAGGAATAAATATAAATAATATATATTATATCGCATATATATCTATAAATTATATTATATTATATTAATTATATTATATTCTCTTGTATATTTTGTTATATATAAATATAAATAAGAAATGAACAGTATGATTCCATTTATATAAAGTTCAAAAACAGGCAAAAATAAACTATATTGTTTAGGGACATAGCATAGGTGGTCAAGGTATAAAGAAAAACAAGGAAAGAGTTACCATAAAAATCTGGAGAGTGGTCACATCCAGGGTGGTGGAGAGGGGGATATGTCCAAAAGGGACATGCAGAAAGATTTGGAGATGCTGGTCATTTTTTAATGTAGGGGATGGTTGTTGCCCTGGTGTTCATTTCATAATTACTCATATTCTGAACATTGATGTTGGATGTTCATTGTGTGTTACAATAAGATTTTTTAAAATCTAGTTTGCTTTTTTGAATCTTAAGAAGGCATATCTCTGTTTGACTTGGTAGGAGTTATTTGTATGCGATTTTTAATTTATGTTTGGAGAATCTTATGTTTACAAAACATGTCTTCAGTGAATGTGAACGTGTCCAAAGGCCAATGTTGTGGTTGGCATGTTAATAGCTGTCTTCCAAGAGATCTTAGACATGGTATCTACCATGGGAATTCACCACAGGGCACAATCCAGGCCTCAGTCTTCCAGCCTGAGATCCCCAGGTCCATCAGTGTCCCAGAGTGACTCTGACTCTATGACATTAACCCCAAACAATAAACTCATAAGATCTTAATGTTGCAAAGAGTGTTTTGTTAATTTACGGCAAGCTATGTAAATATGTGGTAGTTTACAAAGTCATGTCAACCTGGTCAGGGTATTCTCTCTCAAAATGCAAGTAACACAGGAATCTTACTCACTCAAAATCAACTTATTGAGTATACAATCAGAGAAAATATTTAATGCATTAACCTCTGTTGTACCTATCTCCACAGCTAGAACTATCTGCCCCACCCTCCACCCTGGACAGACTGAATATTTATGTCAGACAGACAGGGGACTGGAATAAGCCACCTTTTTGAGGTGACTTCACAAACCATACCTCTCCATTCGTGAGAGCTTCCCAGCCTTCCGTGATCCTTGTCATGTTGTTTTCCTGATTAAGACAGAGGGCAATCTTATTTCTAAGGTTTAGTGGGCACTTCATCTCATTGAGCCACTGGATACTGACTTCTGTGACTTTGGGATAGTTTTCTCCAACCTCTCTGAAAAACCTAATCAAAATC